TGTACATGGGCATTATTCAGACTACATGTACATGTGCATAATTCAGACTACATGTACTTGTATATGAGCATTATTCAGACTACATCAGATAAGGAAATTACTCATTCAACGACATTTTTTAAGTTCCTGTGGATGAATGACTTTGTCACTGATGGATTTGTCTCAGAAGCAAACAATAAACACTTTCAAATCAACCATCGACCAACCCAAGCAAGAGGATTAAGGCTCTGATTCATATCCAAACTCTGACTCAATTCTTGTTTCATGTACATGCATTTTCCTGTACAGAATAAATCGGTTCAAAGATCAACAAGGGCAGTACAACGTCACTCCAATTGGTAAGCAGGACCCCTAGGCAGAATTATTGTAAATTTCAGTTCACATACTGAACATGTGCATAATGTGTACAGAAATTTCACGACTGCCCAATGGACTAAAGATTGAATTCGTTAAGGAAATACACGTACATGTGCATGTAAAGGGGCAAATGAATTCTGTCATGTTGCCATAACACTGCAACAACTACATGTACGTGTATGTGTTGCATAATCCTTTGCTAACCCTAACCCCCAAGGGTGTATGTAAAATCGTATGGAAATTGGAGGATTTGGGACTGTTAGGGTTAATTTATTGTACAAAACATACACAGTGGCCAGAAATAACAAACTCTGCACTTTCAGAGGAAATACAGGTAGAAACATAGAAACTGCCCTTTTCAGCTGTTAGAGCAATCAGTGAACAAATTGAACAATTTCTGCTCATAATGTAACCATTTGTTAAACAGCATAAGTTTTCTTCCAAAGTACATGTACAATGTATCTACATGTAACTTCTCAAGTGGCAGTTGGAGGGTTATTATTTTGAAATGGAAAAATTATTATTTGCTCTAGGTACATGTAGTAAGCCTATAATTGTCATTCTGGCTGCAGAAAAAAACCCGAAGACAGTCTTTGATTTGGAAGTGCTTCGCCATTGTAAAATTATGGACTGGCATCCCACAATGCATGAAGCATACAGACAGGAAAGTAACTACATGTAATTACTGAATCAGAACCATAGTTACTGCTAGGAAGGGGTATCCATCCACGTACCTCTTCTTGTAAAGGGGCATACAGTGTACATGTAATTAAAGCACTGACAGTAGAAGAAGGTCAATCTTTTCCCAACATCACCCTCAAAAGAATTTTTCAAAAGAGGCCCACAAGATCAGTTACGTTTTTCTTTTTCACGATGCATTTGTTATGATCAAATAATCTGAACATAAATGAACTTGCTTTTTTCAAACAAGTTACAGTACAACCAAAACATGCAAACAAGAGAAAACATCTCAACTGATTGAAATAATGCTTGCAATATTCAGTACAGGTCAGGTACCATGTGGATAAATCAATTCAATCTTTCAATAGGGCAAGATCATGTGTAATACTAGGGTTCATTCACTGAACACAGGACAGATGTGACATTGATCAGGTGAAATGATCCTCAGTCACAACTGAAAGAATTTTCGGGTTTTCAATAATAAAAACAAGCATGTACATGTACAGTAGGTCTAATTTACAAAAAAATAATGAATTTGTTGTGATTCGGGAAGTTTATGCCCACCTGACTACACTACAAACAACATGCCATGCGCAGTGTACAAAACAAATGGGGATTTAGTATGTTGGGCGCAATCGGTCCATCATATTGTACGATCGTATCATTCCACAATCAGCCAAGGCTTTTGCATTTTCTGTCTCATTCACGGCTGTGGAAGATTGTTTCAAAAACAAAAGGGAAGAAAAGTTGCCGATTTTAATGTAGGACTGACAAATTGTGCAGAGTAATCGGCCAATCATGCATATTGGCTGATCGCACCCAACATATATATGTACCCGGTATGTAACCCGGAGGTGAGTTGTGGCACCTGTGGCAGTTCACCAGGTGCGGTTCTACAGGGGACTAGGGGAACTCTAGCCCTAAAAATTTTGTCTAACCTCTCCCAGGCTGGCTCCCCCCCCAAAAAACCCCAAAAAAGCAAAACATAACAAAAATTACAGAGCAGTAGCGAAAGTTAAAAGGTCATACCACATGCAAAGAGTCTAGCCCCTCCGATTGGCTCTAGAACCCTGCCCCAGTTCAAACCATCAGCTGCGCCTGTATACAGATAGCCTGATCATGTTTACATGTTCTCCGGACCTAAGTGCTTAAAAGCATTCCAAGGATAATGCAGAAATTGCATTACTGCTTGGACCGTTCCAACTACTGCACATGTGTAGATTGGACCTGGAAAGAATTCCAAACACCAGCATCCCTTGATACTGGGTGTGCACAAACCCTATGAGTATGAGACTGGTCTGAAAAACAATTACATGTATTTTCTAAGTAAACACTTCAGTATTTTCCCAGCTAAATTCGATTTTTTAGGACATGTTATCACTTCCTGATGCTGATACACCAATAGTCAATACTGTACCACTTTAATGAGGAAAAATTAGTGTTATCCGTATACGGTGGACCGTTTCACCATGGCATCATGATTGGGTATAATCATGGAGGTAAGAATTCTCTCTCCATGGTATATTTTTCGAGGCACGTTGCTAGTAGAAGGCCAGGGATGGGTACCGGGTGCCTTGAAGTTCTTTGTCTAGCATGTCTAGATATCTAGATATAGGCCTAACAAGTAACATGCAAATAGTACCCAATGACAAGAATACACGTGTTGCAATCCGATATCCATCAGTATGCAGCGCTCGTGTCGACGTGTGCTCAACATTTTGCATGCTTGATTTTCACACCACGTACCAAAATGTATCTCGTGATATTCAGCACAGAGTTTTATCACTCTTTGATCTGTTGACTCTAGGATTTTGTTTTTTACAAAAATCAGCCTTACCCTGGCATGTCATGCACGTCTGGCGAGAATTTTTTTACAAACTTCAACAAGTTCAACTTTTCCAAGCACAGGGTGCGCTGTTAATGTTTACGTTTGGACGTATTAAAGTGCGCCCTCTGTTAAACGAGGTTGTTTTGATTTTCCAAGGCCGTACCGGTGGAAACTCGGAAGAAACTATGTCGATATTAATTGCATTCGCAATTTTCAAATTTCAGTCTTGCAAATTCACGAAATAATGATTGGGTATTAAAATTCCATTCAAATTTACGATTTCAAATACGTTGACTTATATTACTTACACAAGAAAGCTCCACAATCTGAAAATTGTTTTCACTTACTTTGCTTTTTTCAACTTACACACCCAAAATCTGATTTGTCAAGGCATATAGTAAATGAAAGAATGCCTCAGCGCAGTCACAACCTTACCAGCATTTCTGTATCTTGCACTAGCTCTCTATTTTTCAGTACACTGGCCTAACTTCACCCTTGTCCAGTTCACGGCAGTGCCATAAATTGCATTGGGAAATGATGCTATTTTGGCCAGTTTCCTGTTCTTCTTAGATGTCTCAAAACTATTTGACCTCCATTTTGATTTTTCCCACCCAAAATGCATTTAAAAACACCTTAAAACAATTTTCATGGTTTTCCTTTTTGATGTCATTTCAAAAAGACGTGGTTCATGTTGGAGACTTCCTCTTCAAATTGCGAACCTCAAATCTCCTCGCTGAAATTTATCTATATTAAAGCAAAACAAAATCGACAAAGAAAAGATCGTTTAAGACAGTAAAATATCCAAACTTCTGGCAATTTTGGGGCTGAGGTGTAATATGGATGTTTCTTCCTTAATTTTACAGCACATTGGTATCATGTGACTGATGGGCAAATTTTTTATTAAAACCTCAAAAGGCAAAAGGTAAAACCTCATAAACTTCTCTGAAAATTAAAAATAAACAGAACACAAAAGTGCATTTGAATACACCACACAACTTGCAATGACCCTCCCCCTCTTGATCCCCCTTCATTTGTGCAGGTTCGTGCCTAACACCAGTACGACTCACATAAATCGCCTTTTTATACTTTTGATTCATGTTTCAAAGAGAAATGTTCGAAGAATTTCGATTTGTAGAATTCTAATTAGTCGGACTGGTCGACCCGAACCCAGTTTCTCCGGGACAGACGTGCAAGAATATCTGCAGCGGAGCGTCCATCACAGGAGTCCCAAGTGAGCAGTATTGTGACCTGACAGAGGGCGCTAGTCGCTAGGCACGGTGCAAAGATATAGATGGCGCTCTGCCCAGTAACAAAGGCAGATGTTAGGCGCGCATAGCTGTGTGTTAAGCAAGCGCGGCGCATATAGGCTCCGCCTTGTGCGTTGTGCGATAGGGCAGCGGAAGTCACTGCTTAGTCACGTGAGCGCGTGCGCGGGCGTGGTCAGAGCAGCGCGAAAGCTATAAAAGGCGCGCGTAGGCGCCAGGCTAGGCGCAGGCTAGGACTAGTCGTCCTGATAAAGGGCTGATGCTGAGGTAAGGGTCGAGAATCCTGTGCAAGGAAGGGTTAAAGTCACCTAGCCTAGTGTGACTGTGCCTAAGTCCGAGTGGTGCGTGTGCTGTTGAGGGGCTCGGTAGGTTGAGGGGCTGATTGGTGGTGCGGTATAGTTCCTGATAGGAGCTTGCGGTCGATGCAAGGGTGGATTGCTATCTCGTGACGTACGTACGTGAGTTGCGTGTAGCGCAGCCCTGACAATAAGCCCCGTAGACTTGCTAAAGTCCCTGATTCGGCGTTGGATGCCCGCAATTAATTGTGGTGTTCGCTGCTCTGGGTGAAGTCCGGTCACGTATAATCACGCAGTTTCCCCGTCAATAGCGCTGGTGTATTGGTTGAGTGTGTTGATGAATAAACCAGCCGCTTGTGAATTGTTGTATATAAGTCAGGAGTCCAGGCGAAGTTTATTTCGAGTCAGGTCTGTCCGGGTTACGTCATTAAGTTTCGACCAATCAGATTAGCCATCATCTCGACAAAGACCAACTTTTCTTGGGGGACGGTATACTTCGGTCCCAACGGACTCGTCCCTAGCCGCTCAGGGACTCTCCGGCGTGCCGTCCGACGCACCGCGCCTCGAGGAGGAGGGCGCCCTCGCCTTCGTCGGAGAGGCGCGGCGCCACAGTATAATGCGACTTGAATTTAACGGAAAAAAATCTGCCATCTTTGCCCACCCTTTAAATAACATCCATCTCTTGAGAGAAAAAAAGTAAGGAAGAACAATAATTTAAAAATCGACACGGCAGATCGGCCCTTGTATAGCTATAGCCGGGCACTCTTCTAATTCGACTATCATAAAACTCCAGTAAAAGGGTTGTTTCTGAGAAAACTTTTTCACCCCGAAAAGTGGACCAATCTGAGCTGGCAGTGAATCGTAATGTCCTTTTTTGTGTGGGAAGTATTTCACAGCTTTTTATACCTCAAAGAGCCGGGGCGGAATCCACCCCTCAACCCTTTTCCGATATTGCTGCAGTGCGTTATATTTACAGAAGCTGAGCCTTTCGGAGTTTTAGAGTTACCGTAACTCATTGTGGGCATTTTGACACCCATTTTGTGAAAATAGAACATACTGTTGTCGCGCAGCGCCCATATTTCCTATACAGGTCAGCCAAAATACTTTTCCCCCTGCTGGTACGCGTGTAGTATTGAACTTTAAATAACTGTCACAACAAAACCGTAGGTATATGATTGAGTTTAAACTTCACCTTTGTATTCTAAGGAGCGTCTTTAAATCCATGGCAATTTTTAATCGAGCATGCACAGTCGAATTGTTAGGGGGCAGAATCCGCCCCCTAGGTGTGAGATGAGCCAAAATTAACCAGACAGGTGTCCGGCTTTTTGAGGTTACTAAAAAAATTAGCCTTTCTTGGACTCTCGGGCGTCGCTGGGAGAGACCAGTCATTCAGTTTTGTCGGCAAAATTATAGTTGTCAAGAATAGTGGGAGGGGAAAGGAAGGGGGTAGGGAGTGTGTCATGAAAGTGTTAAATCTGAGAATCAGACCACTATCACGCACAAGAAATTTGCTGACGCCCGCCAGTATGCCTTCCTCAGTGGGAAGGTACGGTGTGCATCCAACTGACTGAACGTCAGCGGTAGCGGAGCGATTTTCAAAGTGGGGGGGGGGGAGTTCCATCAGGCATCAGTCATGAACAGGCCGATCCATTAAGCCCCGTCCCATTATAGACCCTGCAAAAAGTGGAGGGGGCCATTGCCCCCCCCCCCCCCCCCCCCCCCNCCCGCTTCAGCCGCCAGTGATGAACTTCGATTAATTTCTGAAACCAAATCCGGAACACCACTTTTGCCTTGCAGCTTTTAATGTTCAAAAACAGATTCGCAACTTGGCTTTAAGGCTCGATATGTCGGGGGGGGGGAAGAGGCCATGAAATCGCTGGCACCTCCAAAATTAGCGAAGTGCTCCCTCAACGCCGTGTGGTTTTCATCGTTTTTATATACTTGGTTCAAATTAAGTATAAATACTTCAACATTTGGCTGTGTCATACCTATTTCATGAGCAGGAGTAATTGCCCTTTGCGTGTTTTGTGTGTAAGCGGTCAAGCGTAGCTGGCAAAACCGCTACCGTATGTGGGAGAGTGGATGGCGGGTGGATTCTGTCTTTACCCAGACAGCGCAGGGGCGCTATTAGTCTTGGATCAAGACGCCTTTCATGGTTCTACAGCAGTGTAAAATCTAAACATAATGTGATTCAACATGATGTAGCCTTTCCGGTGCCTTTCCCGGAGGGGATTGTCTGGTAACGATTCGTGTCGCGGAATAAACAGGAAGGTCTTGGAACCAAGACTACGGCGATCTTGTTTTTGTCAACTTTTACATCGTCGTCGTCATTGCTGCGTGTCACGTGGGACATTCTGGCGACCCCAAATTCTTAGGGTGATCAGCAACGAATCCTGTACCCAGTCTTTGCGAGTTGCGTTCGGTGCTCGCTCATCAGGTAGCTTTTACTGCAGTTTGTGGGCACAGTTCTTGGTTTGTCAGATCGTGGGTAAGGTTCTTTAATAAATGATTTCAATGCCATTTGAGTGATAGTCTGATCATTGAGCAAGGACTCTATTTCTACATGTACATGTACCGCCATGGTTATGATTTGATAGTGGACTAAGTTACCCCGTCGACTGACCCTAGACAAGCTAGGGAACAGGTGCCAATTTCATAGTAGCGAACAATTTGTGTTAGCTTGAAAAAACCTTGCTTGACAAATCAGGTTACCAGCCAGAACTTCTTGTGATGTGTATTGTTTTGGAATGGTATTTACCTGTCTTTTGGTTAGCATGAGAATCACATGGAGTTTGAGTTGGTAATCTTTGTTTATTAAGCAAGTTTTTTTTCGTGCTTAAGCAAATTCTGTGTAAAGGAACCAGGAAATAGAAATGTTTTTATAAATTTTACCAAAACCCCATGAAATTGCGTCTTTGAGTTTCAGTTTCACCTCATTTTGAATATTTTTTGCACTATTAACCCATATTTTGATTTTTGTTTTGTATGCTTATGATTTTTTTAACCACTGCTACAACAGACTTATTTTCTTTGGCAATTTATTACTGTGTAAGTATATGGCAATAATCCAGCAAAAACCCTTTTCACAGAAATGTCCCCAGATAGCAAATTTGGGATTCACAATTTAAACATGAAAGCATGCAACCTGAACCATGTCTTCCTCAATTTAGATCGAAGCAAAAGTGCCCTCACTTGTCCAGAAATGCTTGGTCAAGTTTTTATCTTCACATTATGCACATAGTCAGGGACGTGTTATAGATGAAATTTGATATCTTGGTCTCATGTGACCTCTACTTTTGGTTTGATCAGAACTTGTATTTTAACACACAAAGCCTCATATCTCATGCACTATACATTCAATTGCAGTGTTAATTGGTTTTTCGTTATACATGCCATTTTCATTCATTTCAAACTTATGATACTCGTTGACAGTCATCAAAAGACAATAAAAAACATTTTGGGAACAACGATGTGTTTGTTCACAAACTCCACCTCTAGTTTTACCTTGATTTTTATGACCTTGTATATATTAACATGTAGGTCAAACGTGTCAAAGGTTGTACAGCCGTGCTGTTACTACATGCTGCATGTACATGTACCTCAGTTTGTGTACATGTACATGTGATGTGCTGTAGGGGCACAGTGAAGCACTATTTCTGCAAGGGTACAACTACCAGCTTTTATAAATTACATGTACATCATTCGTTTTTGTTTTTGATTGTGTCAAATTCACTATAATTTCACCATAAAAATGTTGGCAGACAACAGCAGGTTGGTTTTTAAGAAAAGCTTTGTCTCTCATTCCAAAACAAGATCAGAAATATTTGATTTTTGTGCTGGACAGCATCAGCAGAAAAGAAAAATATGGAGCATTCTTTGCACGTGCGAATACGGGGTGGTGTTTCTGAGCTGTCCGAAGTCTGCCTCACCATAAGCATGCTAGGAGAGACCCTGCAGTTTCAGGTGTTACCCACGACAGAAGTGCATGAACATGTAGAAGGACATAACCAGTAGGAGGGTACATGTATTTAGGAGGGTATTTCCTCAGTGAAAATTCTTTTGCAACTTTAATGTACATTACATAGGTCGGCTCGAGCAGTAGAAAGCATCAAAAACAAATCTCACGCCAGGCATCTTGATCAAGAGAGGAAGAAAGAAGAGACAGAAATGGCCGCTCCTCCGCCATATGAACCACCCAAGGTAAAAACGCTGTAAACACACAAATCTCAGTAGTCTTTGTTTTAAGTGAAATGAAAACAATTCTTGAGTAGTTTTTCTTAGTGTTTCCCCACTACCTGTCGTAGAGATCTCTTCATTGCTGTAATGTTATTCATTTGATCCTCACTCCCATTAAATTCTGTAGTCACAATTCCATAGTCAGGACTTGTATCTGTTGACTCTAGAATTGGATCGGTGTAACAAAACAACAAAAAACTTACCCTTCCAGTTTTCCTACCTGTCCTTTTTGATGACGTAACCCTGAAGTTTTTTGGGGGGATATTCAGTGTGAATGTGGTGCATAAACGTTCAACAGATACATGCATATACGTTTCCTTTGTAAAGTGTTGTTCATGGCATTCATAACAATTGCCGCCTTACATGTACCTGTCATTTTTTGGGGCCTTAGTCTTTCAGATATTTAACTAAATTTGTTGAAGAGCTGAAAAATGCTGCTGTTGCAAACATCTTGCAAAAGAATCCTGGACAGCGTAAATCAATAGTAACCCTCAACATTTTTCACCTACTTGTATTCATTTTCAGCAGGATGCCAATGTGAGCCAGGAAACACAAAATGATCAGTAGTGATATTACCCAATTCGAAAGCTCTCACACATTTTTTTCGGGGACACCAAGTGTGTGCAGCGTGTGATGTATTGTACTTGTATGTACCATTGTCTGGTGGTTCAACAAAGAAAGTTTGCTTTCATTTTGCGCAGGCCGCTACAATTTTTTTTAGCTTGCCTGATCGGGCAGGCCTTGCCATAAATTTGCTTGCCTGAATTGGATCAGCATTTGCTCAAGATTTCTCGGAATCTATTATTATAATAGCTATTTAACTTAGACCTTCTACATGCACACAGTCTTTTATTAAGCCCCCCCCAAAAAAAACTACATGTAGTTGTGCTTCTGATTATGTGCCTCTCAAAAATAGGGTTGGTGGGTGGGGAATTTTTTGTTTTTGGAGTCAATTTCTTGTGCTGATTGAATGTCATAAATGGGATGACAGCTTCCAAAATTATCTCAAAACGTGATGAAAACTTGTCTAAATCTGTGTAAAAATTTCTACAGTTGACAATTCACAAGAATTATGGACAATTCACTCAGTGCTACTCGGGCAATCACGACAGCAGATTGGCCAATAATGTCCGTGTATCGCGTGGTAAGCGTGCGTGATGCATCCAGATCAGCGGGTGATAAACCTTGTGCCGCGGCAGGAAATTTGTTGAAACACGGTCCCTTCAAGTTCAAATTAAACTCACAAACACAGAAAATACATACATACCGGTAAACAACAGACCAAGTTCTGGAATTAGCTTGCAGAAAACCTCTTGCAACATTGATGCTTTTTTCAACCTGAAGCTGTAGGGTTCAACTGGATGTATCGCGCATGTGTAGATTGGTTCTGGTTCCTACATTTTCATCATGCATTCTTTTGCATGGGCGTGGCGCAGCGTAGTTTAATACATTGAGCTTTGTGCTCATGTTTTCACCACTGCAACAGCGAAATGTGAATTGGAATTCATTAAAATAGCAGAAGTTTCTTTTCAAACATTGCAAATGTTAGTAGGAAAACATATAAAAACAAGCAGTTTAACATGAAAAAAGGTTATTGAAAGATTTTCTGTGAAGACAGAAAAGGCATCATCTTTTTCTGGACTTGCCAGAGCGGGCACAGCTAGTCAGAATTTTAATTCCCGAATGAAAATTTGATTGCCCCGGGAAATCGAACAGGCGATTCGTCGCAACTTGATTTTGCAAGAATTCCATTTTGGTGAAGTCATCACCTAACCCAAGTATGTCAAGTTTAGAACGAACTCTGCATGCATGTTGTATATTTGGAATTGTACGGTACTGTAGACCCGGTACTGTAAAAACATAAAACGGGGGCTTGCTTTTGTTAAGTCCTTACGTTAATTTAAAAAAAAAATAAATCTCCTTGAAAATGTTGGTTATTTATTGGTACTAAGATTGGATCGATATCATTTAAAGCCCAAATGGCCCATCAGGTTAAAACCTTGTTTCAGTCATGAAACTCACAGACAGTCAAAAATTCAATTCATTTTCCCCCACTACACTTTATACACAGGCTAGTAACAAACAGTCAGTTCGGGTTGTGACCAGTCAAGTTCCATACACAGACAAAAGCAGACATTGACAGTCAGAACAAATTTACAGTGTATGGTATAAATAGTCACATCCAATCAGTTTGGCTTTATGTAGGCAAAGGACTCTTAAAGGTACATGTAGGTTACCCCATTGGTAAAAAAAAATAACAAAAATGGGACTGCCGAATAATCTTTGAATATCTTTCTTGAAAGTATGGTCAGTCTACCGGTATAAAATAATTCCCAAATCCTCCAATTTCAATACGATTTTACATACACCCTTGCGGGTTAGGGACATGGAAACCGGATAAAAGTCTAGGCCCATCTGCTATAAAAGCAACATTGTCAAACAGATTTACAGAGGATATATGTTTACCTTTCAACAGAGCATTGTAGTCGGGGGTAAAATTAACTGGATTTCTCAATAAGGGAATAAAATGGTGATATCCGGGCTTTCACCTGCCGCATGTACATGTATATTTGAAACTGAATTTGGACATGGGGATGATAGTGGACTAGCTGTAAGCTGCATAGGTCTATTATTGGAGCCAGGCTCTCAGGCCCCAAGAACTACATGTACATGTACACTTTTTGACTGCAAGTTGGAACCAAGGTGTTTTAGGGACCTATCATGCTATCAGTCATTTTGTCAGGTGTTAGCTGTACCCTTCTAGTGTACCAGGGATATATTTAAAAAAATGTGTTTAAAATCAAGCAGCATGACTTACATGTACATGTACAGTATGTTAGCAATTGCAAGCCCTCAATGCTTTACATGTACCTGTAGGCAAAAGATTTTAAACTCTTGATATGTAGGCCTACTTGACTTATTTTGACTGAGAGGATGACTTTGTGCAGAATGGATGTGTGCCCATGTTTACATGTACATGTATGTACCCGTATTACACCCTTGATACACCTTGCACTTTTTAAAAGTTGTTCAGGTTGCAGACTTGTACACGGTGTATGTGTACGTGTATGTACATAGTACATGTATACAAGTGCATGGCATGTACATGTACAGTGTACCGGTACTTGTGTACCAAATGAGCAGGAAATCAAGTCTTTATTACCTGTCATGTTGTAACTTTCTGTACACTTGCACACATCCGGTTAGGTTTTTACGTACCCTACTTGTGCATTGTAAACTTATGGAGAAATTTATTTCCTGAAATTCCTCTGAGGTTACCCATAATTTGCTCAAGTCTTAAACCTTAAAGGGTGCAACAAACAAAATCCATGTTGTATACTGGTACATGTACATGTAAGTGCATTTTTAGACACACGTTTGTCTGCAATAAATGAACGAAAACTACATGTTTGACATTCCTTTTAAGTCAAACGTATGAAAAAAGTGTGCCATTTTAACCATTCAGAAATGGATAACTTGGGATGGTGTTGTTATGTCATTCAGGGATGACGTACCAGTATGGTTCTGTGAATAAGTTTCTAATTGTGAATACAGAACTTACTCATTGACAGCATTTCTGACAAATGGTTTTACATTGGCTTATTGCTACGCTTACAGTGGACATGTATGTTACATTAAATTTTTCTTCTAGAGATGATCTCATTTCTGCTTGTGAATGTGGAAATACTCATTAGCCTATTTACATGTACATTTGTAAACCAAAATCGTAGCCAAATACCCTTAAAAATATTGAAAATGAAGTTTGTCGAAGCTCAAAGGTGCATGTTAATTGCAATTATGTTCAGACTGCATTCCAGTGACCCTTTAACCCATCTGAAAACATTATTGACATCAGAGGACGTATATGCATCTCCCTGTTACTTTATTGGGGTTGACAGGAATTGCCTGCAGGTTCTCTCTAGGAGATGAACTTACAGAAATGCTCATGAGCCTGTATTACAATATAAAAAGAAAACTTGGTGCCTGTGTGTCTGCTGTACTTGGAAGTACATGTATGTACATGTACACTGTACATGTACATCACATGCACAGTGTGCATAGAGAATGCAGTTTCCTTACATGTACATGTACTCTATTTGACACAATTGCAAGGTGTTGTTAGTGCGGTAGTGAACCAGACATGCCTGGTGGCAGGAATCAGCTATGCATGCATTTTGTCCATCACATATAACATGTAATGCCCATTGTATGCGTACAATGTACAGTACCAGTACCTGTAGGCCTCCACACTGCATCAGTAGACGCCTACACTGATGATGCCAAACTGTGCTAACGTGCTTTGTCATAGCCCCCACCGCTTCCATAGGCCAGTGCACACTAGGAATGAGTGTCCCATCATTATGAGTCTGTTGCAGGCACTGGGGAATTCCAGAAAATTTCTCCCACACATGGAACATATTTTGTACACTGTTGCATACAGTACTATAGGTCATGGCCTTGAGATGAGTGCAGTATTTTCTATAGGCATTTATTTTATAGATTTATACCGAGAAGTATTGCATGCAGGTGCACCATGACTTTGCTTTTTCAGGAAGATTTGCTCTCACAGCTGGTTACGAGCAAGGCCCTGAATCTTTCAGACAGCATGTTCTGTTTGTCTTTGGGACAGTGCTAAATTATCTGATGCATTGTACAGACTTCCAGACGATTCAAAATTATTAATATTTTTGAATTTCAATGTTGGTACCAAAAAGGTGGGTGGTCACGGAAAATATATAATTGAACATGAAATTCACTGATTTACATGTACATACAAACAAGCAAGAACTCCCTTTCGGCTCTTGTCCACCACTGGTTACTCCTGAATTTAGTGAGAATATCATTGTCAAGGTCTATCCCTGCTGAATGTATTGGCAGGTGCCGCAAGCACATTGTTAAAATTGAAAACTTTGATGGATTTGGTGCATTCAGGTTGATCAAAAGAAAATGGGAAAAAGAATCAAAATTTTACTCTGAGAATTTTGTTTTGACCGTTACTTTTCTGAAATTACTGGCATACACAGACTTTTTACCGTAGGTGGAAAAGTGAATGCAAGCATACAATGCATACCAGTACTGTCTTATCTGAATGTATCCTGCTCAATTCCACAGAATCCAGTAAAAGCAAAGTGAATTACTTTTCCTACATGTAGGTCTCACAAAAATCCTTCAAGAGCAAGGTTTTCAAATCTACATGTACATGTTTGAAATCGGACAAAATCCTGCATCCAGTTTGAGGTTGCTTCCTGCTAAAACCAAAACAAAAACAGAGTTGAAAATCCTATCAGTATGCTTTTTCCTTGTTAGATTCAATAGTGGATAGGTTTACAGAAATACCGGTATGTGTACCGCATATACCGTCGCCTTCCTGGTTCCAGATTTTTTCCTTCTGCAGAAGAGTTTGAACTTTCCAACGTCTGTTTGTCTACAACACTTGATACTGTTTCGCTCTTCTTCATTCGATATTTGTCATATAGTAGCCTGTAGAATACTTGCTGTAGTGAGGAAGCTGGCTTATTTTAAATGCACACACAATGTTCAACATGAAACATGAAGGTGCTCTAGAGGTGTGCGCTGCAAACTAATTACAAAAGTGACATGCCAGGGATTTATGCTCTTACTAAGAATAAATACTCCCTTCATGTGCTAATGCTGATTACAATTTTTAGTACAATGTCCATGTATACAACATCGATAATCTCTGTGTGCATGTATTGTAAACTTGTTCAGAATTTGGATTCTCGGCGGACTAGGTTTTCACTCTATAAGGGTTGTGAGCAGAATCCACTTTATGTAATGGGACCATACATTTCTGAGCAGATTTGGTGAGAAATTTCAATGTATTGAGGTTTTTCAAATATGACACTTTATTGGGAAAAGCAACTTTCGATAATGTAAAAACTAACCAAATTTATAGTGGATGTGAAAGTTGGAGTGGGCAGGAAGGTAAATCAAAAAGTGAAATTCTGATTTGCTTGATACATACATTTATCAATTATTTACATGTACATGTACCGGTAAGTTACCGTACATTTCGAGTCTTTGAAATCAACAGTGCCCAATGTAGTTCTTGGACATTTACTCTGCATGTACACACTTGTACATATGTTGTGTGCATGTATGTGTACATTTCTTACTTGATCTTTCAACTTTAAACCCTACCGGTACCTCATAGATACCAGTGGATTGTAATATAGAATGAAGCATTGTTAGGGTTCAAGTACTATACGTGTACATTTGCCTGGGCCCTGAGGAGAATAAAAGCAAATACTGTACCATGTACATGTACCAGTATCTTTGGTGACAATTGACGTCATCATATTCTGCACAGACACAGCTGTCAGGGTTTCTCTTTCGGGATTGATTTTCTGACAGAATGAGGTTTAGTTCCTGCACTGATGCAAAAGCTGTTTCATTGCACCAATAGTCATAAAAGTAATGAACTTTGCTGTGGTAGCCACCACTGCACTGGCACCACATACGTGTATGGAAAAAAATTTGTGTCGTTGAAATTCATGCTTGATACAAAAGCAAAAGCAAACCAGATCTCAATATGACAAGTCATTAGATTTGTACGGTACTTTCAGTGGATGTTTGTCATTATAACAAGTTGGCTTCATGCTGAAAATTTACAGGAAGTACGGGTATGAATCAGGCTCAAGATAGTTTGAGAAAGCAGAGACAGAAGAGATCATATGTTGCACTGTGTTTTGTTGATTTTAGTAGGATTGTCTGTTTATTGGTGGCAGAAGCTGGGATTATGATCAGGACTTTGTACATACATGTACATGTACTTTACATGTAGTCAAGGGTTTAGATAATTTTCTTCAAGCCATGAGTACAATACCCACTTCCTTGCTCAGAGTATAGTACTCTTTTGCCCTCGGTATTGTTTCCTATTGTACTCTTCTTCTTCGTGAGAGGGAGAGTACTGTACTCCCCAAGAGGTGGAGCAACTGAGTACCAACATTATGCGAGTTAGTCCTTTTGCCTGAGTAAATATAACAATGCTTGTTATTTATTTCTCTTGAAAAACAGTAAAAAAAAACCCAGTGCTTAGTGATAACCATGAACTCGTGATACCATAGACAAAAATCACATCTGTATCTGCCCGTGTACGGCTGCACGTGTGAGGCTAATGCGCGCGGATGCCATGTTGATCGGCTGCTGTGTGCACACACCTGGCGGTGGCCAATCAAAAAATCATGGCTCACTTCATCATTCAAAATGTCAAGAATCGTCAAATCTGCTTAAACTCGGGTATTTCAGACTCAGATTTTCCAAAAATGATACCTGTTTTCTTGCAGATGTACAAGAAAGCCTCTAAAATGCCACTTGAAAAAAATGCCCATGTTTAGCGGATCAAAACGTTTTATGCTGCATATTTTGGCTAAAGTTGGGAAGCATTTAAACGCCAATACGTAAGTTATCTAAGCTCCTGTGTAGTGTATGCCTGTGTGAATTTTTTTAATTGCAGATCAGGTACGTAGGCACATGTATATACATATACCGGTGCCTGAATTATGTACAAACATATCCACCAGTACCCAGTACCTTAGCCCAGGTTGGACGACGTCTTCTGGTTCCCGGACCAAAAGATACAGACTGTTATTTCAAGCAATCTTTGATACGGCAGAGAACTGGCCTGAGTTCGTTCGAGAAGTTCGTTCGGGATGTTGGTGGTAGAAACTTAGTTTATGATCAGGACTTTGTGCGTAAGATTTGAAGCTTTGCATGGTGAACTTTGTACTTGTATGGTCTAGGTATTTCTTCAATCTGGGGATATATGCATAGTACATGTACATGTACCTAGCGGTACTAGTACTGTACCTGTACTCTGTTTAAAAACATGCACCTTTACCTGTAACTATAACTTCACTCGTTCACGTTAAGTCACTGGAGGTAATGTACTGTAGTGTACATGTACATGTAGTAGTGTTCATTTACATGTGCACATGTAGTAGTGTTCATGCACATGTACACATGTAATGCAAATACCTGGTATGTTTTGCTTTCAGACGTACCTGTAAATTACATGTACATGCAGTGACTTATTAATTTGTAATATACCACATGTTTGAGCTAGAGAGGAGAAATAAAATATTCATTGAGATGATCTTCGCTTCAGTCTCCAAATGAGAGATTAACTGTTGGAATTTTTATCATCCTTCATCCTTAATATTTGTCTGGAATATTTTTATACATGTAAGAATACTTTGTATAATAAAATTATTTCAGAAAGAAATTGTAGTCACTGAGTATGAAGTCACCAGATTTGTTGCTTTCTGTCTGATTTTAAAACAGCAAGCGTACCCCCCACAACAGCCTGGGTACCCCCCACAGCAGGGGGGCTATCCGCCGCAACAAGGCTACCCCCCGCAACAGGGCTACCCCCCTGCTCAAGGCTACCAGCAGCCCCCACCCCAGGGCTATGCGCCCGTCCCCACACAGGGGCCGCCGGGCGTGGTGGTGGTGCAAGCTGGAGCCCCTCAGCCTGTGCAGCAGACAATTGTCACCACTACTGTGCAGCAACGGTAAGGGAGGAAAATACGTGTACACAGATGTGCAGACAGTATGTCTCAATTTGTCATGTCAGTGCAACAAGGTCATAACTCTCATTTGTTTTGCATACGAGATACGACCTTGTTGTTGTAACGTAATGAATTGCTGTAGCTCTAGATATGTTTGAATAAGCTTGTATTGGGGCGTGCCCTAACGTGGCATGCTTTGATTGTTCACCTCAAATGCCTTGTTTGCTGTAGCAAATTGTATCTCGAATTTCACAGCAAAATGAAATTTCATGAAGTTCTTGACACTCCCATTCATGAATACTCAGTTTAAATGCTTGCTAAAAAGTTGTAGTGGATTTGTACACGTTGTTGGGTGGAAATATATGTAACAGTGATTCATCAGAAGTTGTCAACTTCAAAGAAGTTATTCACTGTTAGTGTGGGATTTTCTGAGATTTGTTTGAATGCACCATGTCAGGGAGCACTTAGCTGAATTCGTGCCCCATTTCCAGACTCCATCATTTTCATTTTCCATCATTTTAAAATTTCAGACAAAATTTCATGACACTGAAATTGTTCACAAAGGCTCAACTGCATGCATTGTGAAGGTAATTGTACCAGTATTCAACTAAACGGGTTTGACATTTAAAAAAAATTTTCAACAAAAACGTTTTCGACGCTGCATCAGGAAAGGCAAGGGAAATGTCAAAGTACACCACACAAGGAGGTCCACTATACTCTAGTCTAAAATTTCATTGGTTGAAAGTCTATTTCAGAAGCATGCTACGTGTATGTCATTGAAAAAATTAAATTTTGTTTGTCTTACCAGACCCCGTGTGAACCACTTGCTGCATCTGTTGATCACCATCTTCTTCTGGCCTTGGGTGATTGTGTGGATCATTCTAGTAAGTGTCAAAGCAACTCTCAGATCTTCAACTGGATCAGTATTGTGACAGGCATTTGAAAAATACATGTTCTGGTTTCACCCCAGTGGTGCAGATTACCATTTGAACAAGCAATTTTTGTCAGAATGTGTACAGACCTGTAGCATGTAGCACGTGTGTGCATGGGTATGCGCTAGAGCTTGGGTATGAGGTAGCAAAAGAAACTCCAGCTTGCTGAACCTTTCATTCCTTTTTTTTTTTTAAGCCTTTTAATCCCCAACGTCCAAGTCATTGTCACTCGGAAACCTTCCTGAGTCCATCACAGTCTCCCACTAGCATGCAGGAAGCCCGTGGCACATTTTAAGGGACACCACGTTGAGTAATGTCAGACTAATTTTCGACTGGATGTGCATAAAACTGCCGTCTCCATGTGAACAGAAAACATGTCAGTGTGCAGACAAACGATGGAAATGGTACTGAGGAATATTTGGCATTTTTACCTGTAAAGGGTGTAGTCTAGACCTTCTCACCCTCTGTGCTTGCTCATCTCCCTTCCCCTCCCACCACTCATGACAGAGAGACTTGGCTCTAGCACATGGTTGCAGTAGCTGCCCATGAACCAAATACCCACATATAGACGGCATGGTTTCTGGATTTGCAGATGAAAATAACTTGTGTACGCACCCCATGCACAAACTGGAACATGTATTGCTGATGTACATGTACATTGACAGGTTCAACAGGAAGTAAAACAAGGATACGGGTCCAGATAGTCAAGAATTCAAGGAAAAAAACTTAAAGCATAAAATGCATTCAATTGCGTCTTACCCCCAGGCTTTTCAACAACCTCTGGTTATAAAAGTTGGGAAGTATTTTTGGATTCTGTGTAGCTCTGGTTTAAAAAATCCCACCATTATTTTTTGATTTTTTTTTCTTTGTGGATAGGACTGAAAAGTAAATGAGTAGTTAAGTTGGTTAAATGTAAGTAGTTACAGCATTGAGAGCTGGTTCCGAACGACAGTAATCATTAGTCATACATCTTTGCTGGTGGCCCTACCTCTCCCTACCCTTCTTCTCTGTTCCCCGGAAAAGTTGAAAGAGTTGAAATGTACCGGCATGAAGTCACGCTAATTAATCGTTTTTTTTTTTGCTTCTTCACAGTGCATCACTGAGGGGGACTGCTAGAAAGATGGACCGTGGAAAAGGACTTGTGAAACTTAACAGACATTCCCTGAGACAGAAACTGGTAAACAACTTGGGGCCAACATTCACGATGCACCGATACATACAGTACGTCAGCATATTCAATATGATGTCCTAAGCCATTTCCGAATTACCTTGACTGTGACATAGTCATGTGGCATTTCAAGCCATAGCCAAGTATAAATGTAGATATGACTGTATAAGTAGTTACCAGTATCTCCAGAGGACAAGCGGGAAAAAAAACCAGAGAAAATTGTTGGCTTCTCGACTAAATTCACATGCAGGGCATGTGCAAATGTTATTCACTATGCTGTATCGTCACTGAAAGACTTGGCCCCAGAAATTGGAAATGTAATTTGGAAAGGACTAAAATTGTATTTGAATGTTTTGTCCTAAGAAGGAGAGAATAGTGATGCTTTTTTATATTGACAAAGTGAACACCACTGTTTGTATTTAAGGGAAGTTTTGCATAGCAGCCATCTTAGGGTTTATACTAATTCATTGTTACAAACGAACAAAAGGTCTCTGCAGCAGAACAGAAGTGTTGCCCTTCAAGATGGTTGCTGTGCATAATGTCAAATTAATCTTAATGATAGTAGCCACACATATCATGTTTCAAAAAAATTTTGTAGAGGCTTATTATCACTGTTAAATCTTCACGGTAACAATATTTACTCCTTACTTTTGGGATTGGATTTTTGGAGCTTACATATAACTGTAGTGAAAGCCAAACTTGTTGGCATTTGTTGTGGTGTAGCATTGTCTGTTTCCTACTGGGGGGGTTAAAGGTCATTTGCATTCAACTCAGTCGTGCATGGAGGCTTTGGGTTGGGAGAGGGGGATGGAGAATGAAAATTCAATCACAGAACGGTCCAAATGTGGTTAGGCATGTAAGACTCCTCAACCTCACTCCCAAGGTGGGTTTGCCATTTCTAAAGCTGGCATTTTCATTTCTCTAGAAAAGAAAAAAACAAAAGAAAAAAGGCAGCATACATGTATATGTCTCTGGGGAGGGGGTTCCCCCCAGTGAATAAGCCACTGATCAAACTGAGTACTTCCAGTGTAAATCTAATATACAAGGCTTAATGTGGCTGAACAGTGAGGCTTGATTAAAATCTTGTTAGCTTTTCAATGATGCATAGAGTTCGGGGAAGTCAATTCTCAGCAAGGAATTAGACACGTTCTGTATAATAAGGGAAAAATGGAATTTTTTTACCTCTATTTCTGATTTGATTCAGCATAAAAGAAACCTAACTGGTCCCTTTTTCCCAAATTCTTTTGGCGGAGATATATTCCAACATTGTAAAGCAAATGTAGTGTTTCAATACATGTAAAGTATGCATTCAAATTGTGAATTTATATTATTCAGATGTACATGTATGTGTACTGTATTTCATTAGCTACGTGTAAATTACATGTGTGAATACTGAAATTCAAACTCCAAAGCTTGCGAACCAGTTTTTCTGTACTAACCTAAACATGGTTTATTGTGATGACCCTATCCCTAATGTTTGACAAGCAACTGATCCATTGTAGAGCTGTCGTACAAGATACAAGTATTGAAATATCCGTAAATGGTACATCAGTGCATGGTACATTTGAATTGGGCATGCCATCAGTTGTGCGTGGCTAGGGCCATCCTCCATATCTCAGGTTCATCTCTGGCATGGGCGACATCCGTGTTGGAAAAATCATGCCGAGGCCGTTAATGTCCAAACTAAATGCAGATGCAGATACTGGCTTCAAATTGAAAGGTTTGGATGTTCTTGAGGCAGTAACAGGGCAGACATGCACATGTGCATACTGAGCTGGAGTCTGGTTGGGCTTCTAAGAAATTCCATGAATCCCAAAAGGATTTATGAAGCCGAGGTTTGGCAAATACATGTACCCGATCTTTACTCTTGTAGTTTGACCTTGGTAATTCACACACCGAATGCATCCTGTGGTGAACAGCTACGGGGGTACCATGTAAACTTGGGTGTGAACGATAGGGCCTTTTGAGCAGAAATACCTTTTATTTGGGGGATTCAGAGGATGAATGGTGGTTGCCAACTGCCATGCACTGCTGGTTTCTGTACAGTTCTGCGCCAGCTCTCTGCCCAGTTTTACATGTATATTCACATGTACATGCATTTTGTTGAGCGTATGTGACAGTCTGCTTAAAGTAGCCTGCCATCATTATTCATGCCCATGTATTGTACCTCAATTCCGTTGTGCAGCTGTTGATCAGTATTCTCTACATAAGTTCCCCTCTAAAATAGTTCTGCTTCCTGTTGCATAGCAATGGAAATCAGGGTTGGTAGGTGCATGTACATGTACGTGTGAAATTTTTTTTTCAACTACTGCTTCTGTGTGCAGTTGTGTTTTAACTGGTTCACAGTAGCAACCACCAGAGAGGTCAGGTGACATTTGTTTCAGTGGAATGAACGACACTTTACAAGGTACCAGTTGCGTTCATAAAAAGACCATAGAACATTCAAACTGCCGAGGCCCCTTTTTTTACTCTCTAAATTCCCTATTTCCTCCCCTTTTAAAAATTTTTTCTCCCCCAAAACTATCAGGGTCGCACCGTCAACAGAGAGTAGGTCCATGAATCAGAACAGAAGCAGAACTATTAACCCTAACACTCCTCAGTCCTCCAACAGGTGAAGGATTGAGGAGGGTTAGGGTTCATTTTTGTCTTGTTTACAGCCACAAGCTGGTATGTGTGGGATTATGTGAACAGTATTTCCAAAGCAAACTTTTATTGCTTAGAAAAAAGAAGGCTGAATCCACAGCATTGAAATATAAAGGCCTTGCCTATCAACTTGTATAACGATGTATATCTGAAGTTGTAAACTTCATGTTTGTTTTTGTTGTTTTGAACTTTGTTGAACGTGTAGTTTCAAATATATTTTTGTCGGCTTTATCTACTTTTTTCCCTGTCTGTCCTTTTGTAAACTGTTCAACTATTTGTTTTCTAGTAAGCAGCTTGCACAATAGCCAGTGCCTTGAATAAATGCAGTCTTCATCAGAACAAATTAATTGGAATTGTTCTGATCACTCCTAATCATAAATTTGCTCGCTGAAAATGTTACTGATGTGAAACAAGTGTGTAGATCTTTAAATTTATGTTTGCAGGAGGGCAGGCTCTTGAAGATGTTTGAAAGACATAGAAATCTTGTGAAGACGTAAAGTTTTTTACTGAAATTAAATAGCTTTTCTGGCCGCCTAGTGAAGTTAAAGGTGTTTACTCAGAAAGTTGATTAACATTTTCTCATTTAGGTTACCTGTGACAGCTTCATGGTTGGTAATGCAGTATACGCACAAGTCTAGTAGACACAGTTGCTTGACAACTTTCATACAGGTACCTGTATTAATGTCAGTGGCAGCAGTGCCCAATGCTAAATTGTTTTGTAAACATGATCGCAGGACTCGATCAGATATAAAGACCATTGTCTTCCATATGAAGGCAGTGTGAGTCAATCATTGCACCTTGCCGAACATATCCAATCAGTACGACACCAAAAGTGCAACACCTCCGATGAGAGTGTGCCAACTTGCTTAGAGTGTTCAAACTTTTTTCCCCAACAGCCCAAGTATACATGTACCATCTTGAGGCACACCTGTGCTCTCAATTGTTTCAGTAATTTGACTTTTAGAATGCAAGTTTATAAACAAACACTGAATTTCTCCATTGTATTTCATTATTTTCCACTCTGAATATTCAATTTCAAACGGAAACAGAAATCTGCAGTCAGCACAGCCGTGATGTATAACAGTTTATCCTTTATAAATATTTTTTAATGCTTCATTTGAAATTCCGATATGGGTGTGGTTCTCAGTGTTCTGCTTGGCACATAGAATTATTTTGTCAGAAACTAACAAAAACAAGACGAGAATTTCAAGCCTTTGGCTTTTAAACCAACAGTATCTTTTGTAGTATGTATACTCAGAGACTTTGAATAAAGTGCTTGTTTGTGTCAGAATTGTTGCAAGTGTCAAAAATGTCCGTATACCTGTAATGTTTTACTGTATCCCTCTTTGGGGACAAAAATGGCAAAGAAGTTGGAAAAACAGGACTGAAGACTCTTCTTAGATTGTAAATGACAACCTTGTTTCAGCATTGCCAGTATCATCGGGTGTGGGGCATGGCTCCTCTGGACCACCACCTTCCCCGAACTTAAACGAAACAAATTGCATAATCCAGCAAACAAAACACAAAAAAGAAGCAAGAATCTGGTTTTTCTAGACCCCAACAATGTCAGGGCATTCGAGTCATTGTTTCAGTGTTTGCACTGTCCAAGCAGTGCAAGCAGTAAGCTACAAATCATGCCAACAATTCTGAAGCAGAGACATGTTACACATTGAAAGTGCTGTACAAGTGCCTCACAATTATTATGAAACTATCGAAATTATTACGGAATAAAACATTCTTCACAGAGAAAAAGTATTGTAAAAACACCAATTAAAACTCTGCATGTGTTAAATCCTAGATGTTTAATGAAGTAACGAAATCCAATCATTCTTTGCCAAATTGTTAACATCTTACAAATTGCAATTTGTAAGTACATCGTGTACGGTACGTTTTGTGTTTACAAATACACCAACTATGCACATCGAGTGAATTGAGTTTTCTACACATCATTTGCACACAACAATCTGATCCCTCACTTTCCAAGTGAAAATCAAACAAGTTCATTGAGAAGGAAATGTGGTGGTAATTTCCTTGAAACAAAAATGCAAAGAAAAAGTCTAACTCTTTTTGAATGAAGTAACTGAATGCTATTTCCATCGTGCTTTCAGAGCATCATTCCTGTATTTAAAATGAATACTTGTCAACCAGGTGCACATCCAATCCATATTCCACATAACGCAGTGTATATCATGCCATTTCATTACCATCTTTGAACCAAATGTACACAAAAGTTCTGCAAATTGTCTTCACAGAAAACAAGTTCTCTTGCACTGTCCCATCCTCATCCAAAAACCACTTTACTAAAAGCCTGAAATACAATAAAATTCACAAAATAAAGTAGTTTTACCTAGCAGTGCAATCTCTGTGTGGCCTTCAAAAAGTCTTTCAAAATATTAAAAGCGTGCATTAATAGTGCACATTAAGTGGAGGGGGTTGGCAGGCTTACACTGCCTTTCCTCTTAATTGGGCAAAATAGTTGGGCAAATTGGGACAAAGCTGTGGGGACATTTCTTTGTACCCGCAACACTCTCGGTCCTCACAAAACGGGTGAAATAATGTGTACATGTCCCCACTACTACAGGAAAGTGTAGGTGATCCTGTGGTTCTCATGACCACAACCTCACGGGTTCACATCATCATGCTGGCCATCTATTGTGCCCTTGGGCAAGCCAATTAACCCCACTTGCCTCTCTGCACCCAGGAACTAGGTGGGGAGTAACCTGCAATGGACTAGAATACATCAATCCAGTAAGCCACGCCCCTGAAAAAATTGACCAATCATAGGGCATGATTTTAGATCTGACAAGTAGACAGGATTTTGTCTGACGAACTTTATTTACTTTGATATTGTTTACCGCACAGTTTTTGAAGATTTTGGGTTTGTTTCGTTTTTGCACTTGTGTTGTAATCAATCTGGTTTTTACCATAGTTATGGTCAACAGTGTTCCTATATGAACTGTAGATCCGAATCTTGGTACCTTGAGAAATGTGGAAAGGTATTATTTTGGCCATTTCCCAAGCTAAAGATGAATAGAGAAAAGTGTATTTGTTTGCTGCTGGTGTGTGGCCGGCCTCCAGGACCCGACAGTCATCTGGACCTGAACATGACAAGGCACTCATTTGTGTGTTCTAAGGTGGTACTACCCACAGCTACTGATAGTGTGCACCGGAAGGCTTTTTTGCAAGGAACAGAAATTTCTTGCAATAACTTCTACTTCATCTTTGCAAAGTGAATCCCATGAACACAACCGTGACCCTGAACAAAAAACAAATATCCCATTTCTTTTGACCCTTTGATTAATTTGACACCTTGAAAGCAATCCAAATCAACCCCCCTTTCAAGGGAGACAGACTTGAAATTGGTGAGATGTAACTGCTCTATGCCATGTCCTTTACTGGAGTAACATTTTTGTCATGCATTATATGTACTGTATGTACACTATGCATGCATATCATGTTACACTTGGAAACAATACACACGAGCTGTACACGTGCCAGGCACGCACTTGTTAGCCCTAGCTAAGGTGGCTATGGCTTACTGGATCGGTCTATTCCAGAAAAGTACCATCATCTCATACAACTGGTGCCAGAGATAAATGTCGGCCAGACAGGCTTTACTGGCACATAACACACTCTATACTGCATGTATACTATACACAAATATGCCCACTGCCTCCAAATATAAATGCTTGACTGGTTAAAATCAAGACAAAACCAGGACCAAATACCCTGACCACAAAATAAGAAATACTACGGCAATACTATTTCAGAGGCCATGTTTTGCAGAGCAGCAACACTGAAAAAATAAATTCAATGATTGTACCACATAAATATTCATGATTGTGAGCCCAACCCTCACTGGTCCATTCACTATCAGGTGCTAGTCACTGTCAGACACAGAAACAGGGATCGCCACATTAGTCAAATATGCCAGTGATCCGAACTGTTCCCGGGAATAGCTCAGTGAACCTGTGAAGTATAGACACGTGAGCATCACTCTAGCTACACTACATGCACACCAAACATAAACAGATCACGGCCCCTGATATTTCAATGACAGCAGAGTGTGTCTGAGGTATGCTAAAACAAGTATAGCATCGTTTACTTTGGACAGATAGTCAATTTGACATCTCCCACAGTACTGGAAGGTGACAAACAAGAACCTTAGAGAGCTAAAAGCTGACTCCACCCTCAAACCATGAAATAATTGTATAATGTCAGTGAATTAATAGTTACATTTATCTAGTGCATATACCAAAGTAAACACCACGCAAAAAGTAATAATAAAATATTACAACTCCCAAAAAAGCAAAATGACTGACATCGATAATGAATATGCTGTGTTACAGCTACTTTGTGGGCAGTGCAAAGCAAGGTGCCATAAATATAAGTAAAATAGAACTCTATAAGCCATGTTTCAACAACATGGTAACAATTGCCCTGGCATATGAGGGTGAAAGATACCCTGTATAAATTGGTAACTCACAACTGAAAGTTTAGGGGAATGGTTTTGGTGTTTTTTACCCAAACCCTGATTTCCCCTCACGCTGTCTCCTGTCAGGTTGATGAATTGCTCATTTCCTTTCAAGGTCGTGTGACCCAGGGCTTAAAATTTGATGTCAAGTAGGCCAAATCGACCCACTTTGCAAACTCAGCATATGATTCCAATTAAAAAGCCATGAAAAATCGGTGCTCTGTCTTGCGGTAACATTAAGCCACGGGCTAACGACATGCTGAGTTGAGGTGCTAATTTCAGATGGCATTTGACCACACAACCAGAGGATGTTATTTCAAGAGCTTGCTGTCCACAACAAATGTTTCGCATAATTCAGATCCTCTGGTCAACATACAAAATACCAACTTTGGTAAAGCTCTGACATTTTACCCACTCTGAGGTCAGAGATGAGTATCCATGTTCACTGGTGTCCTCTTCCAGTAGCTACCAGTATCTACATCCATCATGTCCAAGTCCTCCTGGTATATGATGAAACAGGGCCAGACAAAAACACAACAAAAATTTACACGGAAATGTTTTGGGTGAAGGCACATGCTCAAATAGTAACGAACAGCTTTTGTGATATTCACCATTATGATTTTGTGGGTATTTCATAATAACTCTTCAAGATAAACAAAATATTTTCAAGATATATATATTTTTTTTTGCATTGGGGAGATGTTAATTATATATAACTGGTTTTGCCCTTACTGGCAAGCTCGGTGGTCGAGTGGTTAAGACATCTGCGCTAGTAAGCAGGAGGTCGTGGGTTCGAGTCCCACCCGAGTAAGCTTGNTTAATATACGTTGGGTAAGGGCAAAACCAGTTATATATAATAAACAAAATACTTCTGCTACAGAGGATCCACCAATAAAATAAAATGAAAATTTCATGACAAAATTGAAGCAATATAAATGGACTTTTTATCATTCAGGACTGTAACTTGAATTCAGACTGGAGATCTTGTGTTGGTCTTGTGATGGTTTTCAGAGGTCTCGCCTACAACACTGATGAAAAGATGAACTTACCAAGCGTTGCAGCTTGTGACCAGATCGCCGAAAACTACATGAACAGAGGCAGTTAACAACAGGACTCAGCAGAGATGGGTCAACATCTTTATTGCCGCCTACAGTAGAAAGATAGGAGCATAAGAGCGTTTGAGTAGGTCACCCAGATTGACTTGGGCAAAGGAATCAAGGTTAACCCTTACAGAAAAGCTAATAAGCCTTTTATGACTTAAATTTGAATAAAATCTGGTACACTGAGCTACCTGAATGCATATAAACATAACAGTTTGAATTCCCCAGACTAAAGACACTGTTGCTATACTGGAATGGACTCTTTCCTTTGAGTTCTTCTTTGAAATTGAGATCAATTGAAAACTGTATATTGGTGCAAAGCATCTCCTCCCATGTAGCTCAGCAAAAGCTAGCCCCCAATCAAGAGGTACAGCACAGTGTCTTTAGTGTGGAGAATCCAACGTATGTTCACGGAATGTAAAGAACTCAGTGTACCAGAGTTTATTAATTAAATTTACCTCACAAAAGATTTATTGAATGCCAAAAATATCCTCTCACGTTTACACCAACATGTGTCAAAGGTTACTCATTAACAAGGATAAGGTTGTAGCTTCTGCCAACCAGTGGATGACAAATTGTCGCTCACCGTTAGCACAAAAACAAACCAAACACATATTTAAAAATATTCACAGCTATTAAAACAAAAAGTTCTACTCCAAATATACTTTTGACTCTCTAAAGTTTATGTGCAAAACATTCACTTTTTTCCTACAATTTTTGGAAAATGCACCTGTGTTTCAACTAACCTTATTTTCAACTTTTGTTTTGTTATTTTAAGACGTACTTTGGCACTGTTTTGGTTTAGTTCATGAGCAAAACTGTGATGTGTCATTCCAGGGAGAAAACAATAACTGCTGGCAGTTTTGATAGTTTGCTGTTTGAAATTTCTTTTTCTTTGTAGATTCATTGTTGACCGAGTATGTGGCTATGCACCAACTACCATCCCGTTTTTCTAAAAAATGTTTTCAATGAGAAAATTTTGGGTTCGCAACTTCAACAGAAAAATGTACGTGTGTATATATATATACTGAACAGCGTCTTCCCTGATTGACATTAGAGCAAAAAAGCCCTGTGTTGTCCAGAAAAGTGTGGACAATTTGAAATAATGAGAAACCCTAACCCCAAAAGATGTCAAACTGTTTTCAGACAATGAAGAGCATCAAGTTGTGTAATAAAGGTGTCCCAGAAACTTTATCACCCAAATCCTTTAAAGCATATGATGGAGTGCATTTTATGAAGCGAAAGCCCTCGTCAGCCAAGGGTGAACTTTTGGTAAAATTTGGCCACCTGTGAAAAATGACAGTCCCACTTGATCTGTGATCTGCATTTACTGGACTGCACATGCCTGATACTACATGACACATGCCTATGACCTGAATTCCATCAATTCTGCTCCCTAAGCATATTGACTCAGGCAAGTTGCCTGATCATGCCCAAGATTTCGTGATGTTGGCCATCTTCTGAGTACTGAATGGACCGATGCTCCACCAACTGAGCTATTGTGTCCCGTGTTGACATTTGGCTGAACCAAAATCGGCTTTTACCTGTGATGAGACTGGTGATCAAGCCGACAATCAGAACTGCCAGCATGCTAATGACACTGTACCACAGGTAGGAGACGCTGTACAAGCTGGCCAGCACTGGACTGAAGAAATCAAAAGGAAAAAATCGCCCCAGCATTCGACAGGGAAAAATCGGGAGATAAAGGCAAATCCACAAAACATCCAGCTGAGGTTGCACTAACATTGCATCACCATGACTCGCAATAAAAATGCATTTACTGTGAATTTTCAAAGTTTTGAATAATCAACGAGGCACGAGTCTCTCGGAAACAGTCATGGATACATGTATTTTAATCTTGCCCTTGGACTTTAAGTGCAAACCTCTAAAAACTAACAAATTTTGGATCAAAGTTCCTGGAATAATTAAAAATTAAGAGTAGAATACGCTTGGCCAGATTATTAACCAATGATGGGCAAATTTGAGTGACAAACACTTGTCAACTGGTACCCTAGGTATATTTTGTGCACAGGTAATTGGAAAAAATTGACCAGTGACCATGAATGATCTGTATTCGAACTTGCTTGATTATGAAATGACAAGAAATATTGGCAGCTACAGAAACTGGATGGATTTGCAGAAAATACACACTGAGTTGTGGCTTTGGGTGCTTCTGCAGTGGAGGATAACAAGCTGCTTAAGCTGGTGCCTTCCATGTAGGTGGAGTTGTCATCAGGGAATGCGGTGTACGTGACGTTCGACAAGACGCAATCATCTAGAGTCGTCAGCAGCCCGGGTCGTGGGGTCGGGTAGAGAAAAGCACCGATGGCAATCCACGTTGAAATGGCAAAACTTGTGAATACGCCTACAAGTGCACCCTGAAAAAAAAGTGAGAAGTGTGCGAGTATGCCACAGTGGCTGTTTTCGGAGTGAACTCAGTTTTCTTGTACTGCACGGCTTCACTGTATAACATTCTGGGCCTCACAATATTCAGTATTAACAGGGTGGTTACTCAATCTTGCATTTTGGGGTGCCTCAATAAACAGTGCAGGCAGGTACGCAACTGAGACATTCTGGGATAAACAAACAAATAAGAAACTGCCAGGACTTCATCCAGTGTTTTTTCCAGTTGGAAGTGATATCTGTGGAGGAATTGACCACACAAGGAAATCAGTTTGAACAAGAAGCTTCTTGCCTAAGAGTGCCCCCCCCATTTGTCTGACACCTTTTGACTGGTGAAGAGGAGAAATATATTAGACATAAGATTTCACATGCCACCAAACCCTATCCAAACTCAACAAAGGTCACAGCCAATCCTCACCAAATAGTGTAAAGAAAGCACAGGGTAATGGGGTAGCTTCACATCAAAGTTCATTCAAACACCGGCCAATGAGCAGCCAGAGAAATTTGGCCACTGCCGACGTGCTGGAAGGGGGCAGCGGGTACCAGTGAAGTGCAAAGACTGGCATACCTTGTTATTGGCGCAGGGGAAGAAGAGGCCCAACGTGAAGAGACCAAGCAGCGGCCCGCCGATGATGCCCATCAGCTTCAGTGCCACCTCCAGCACTGGGCCCATGTAACCGGCCAGGTAGGCCAGGCCCACGCACAGCAGACCGTAGGTGCAAGCTGCTCAAACAGAAAGGAAAAAGAATGAAACACATTTGACAATTGCATGGTCTCCAGCGAGCCACGTCAGTGTATTTTGAGCATGGTCATTTGAGAATGAAGCACTTGAGGTCACATCAGCTCCTGCATGTTCAGTGCAAGCGTGTCAGCACATGGCTGTCCTAACAGGGATGACCTTGATATAAAGGAACGTTTCATAATTACAGAAGGCGGTATTTACTGCGGTACCGCTGTATTTTTGCGGTACCAGCATTAAGCCCTTTTGGGTAACTAGTGCGGTGCCGCTAAAAAAAACAGCGGTACCCCAGTAAATACCGCCTTCAACAATTATGAAACGCTCCCTGATAAATAATATATTTACCAAGGAACTTAGAGACAAGGGCGGCTGTCTTCTCTGAAAATCGCTTCTTAGGGAGGACATCTTCGAGGGTGACAGCAGCGAGGGAGTTCATACCTGACGATACAGTACTGTGCAAACACAGGAAACAACAGTTCACATGAGGATTTGAATTACTTCATTTGACATGTGCTTGAATTTGGAGATTACTCAGATGAACTTTTGGTTTTTCTACAGCTTCAAAATCACTTTAAAATTTGCTTCAGAAACATACCATCTGCTCTACTGTACAAAACTCACGCAGCTGTAGTCATAGGCAACTGTCCAGCATAAACCTGAAGGTGCAATTGGCACTCTGGTTTGGCATTTTTGATGAAAACATGTATCAACCTTCAATGCCTGCAGTGTGACGGGAATTTGCCATATATCCAGCTAACTGACCCAACAGTGTGGCAAAACAGACTGAGGTGTTGCAATATAAACTTCCACTGCTAGAGAGCTGGCTTGCAGTGATAGGATAAGTTTAGTAAGTCCCACCACAATGGTGTGGAAACCTAACCCTGAAAAGCTTGAAAAAGCAGACTACACATCTGTGAACTTTGTACTTAACTATACAGGCAGAAAAAAAAAGCAAGACACTGGTGTTGCTGACCCGTATGCAAGAGTTTGTGCTCATTCAAATGAACATTTGCTTTGTCAACAAGTTCTATAACTAGGGTTGGATGTCAAGGGGGCACTTGAGATCATCATCTCAAGGAATGGGCAATTGATGAGTGCGCTCACAGCTCAACAAATATAGAGCTCATTTTGGTCTCCTAGAAATGTGGGGAGGGGGGAAGGAGAACTCTTATGGGACACACTTGGTGCAGACTGGAGGGACCCACGTCTGCCCCCATGGGCATCATTACTTAAGCCTCATGCACACTCCATGCACCTGTTGGAGTGAACACAACACTTGAAACTGTCCATATAGCTCAAAGGTTCGTCCTATAGACACACACACATCCTCCATACGTTTCCGACCCCCAGCCTTCCATCATGCTGATTACCAAAATAACGACAGGACAGGTTTCCTGAAGTGTTTCCTCACATATGACAATTAAACATAAAGAATGGTAGTTGTCAAGGACATCTGTTCACGCACGTCTCATGCCTCACAGATATTAATCATATTTCCATGTCTAAGGAAATCCCTTGCAAAGAACAAAACTCCATAAATACATCAGCTGGAAAGTTAATTTAAAGGGCTCATGTAAATGACGTTACTTTTTATTTAGTCCAATTTTAGTAATACGGCTGTGTGTATACACCACCATTAACTGTTTACATTTGTTTATAATGGGGCTTATCAGTCTCAGTTTCATTCTAACACAAATTGTTACATTCGGTTGCTGGACAGTTTCTCAGTTTTAGGTTTCAGTATCTTGAAATGCAAATATGCACTTGAAGTAAACGTTCCATTTTTCTTTCTCATTCACCTCACAGATTATGCAATGAAAAACAGTCACTGGGAAAACTTGTATTCACATATTGCTACAAGGATCTAAATGCCAGGTTCAGGTTTTACACAGAAAACCCCCCAACTTTAATAATGTAATACTTCATCTTGTTAACTGACAAAATAGTTACAAATATTTAAAAAACAAAACTTACAACTGAGGAAAGAAAATAAAGTCTCACATGTACCTGAGAGAACCACTGAAGATGCAACCAATGAACAGGCCGGCTAGACCAGAGAAGAAACCCAACTCATTGACCACATAGTATGGTAACAGCTGCACAGAAACAAAAACAAAACAAAAAAACACAGCTTAAAGTCAGGGAACCAGAGAGCATGGCTTTCGTTAGGTAACCTGATATGTATTCCAAAACATTTTGCATTTGTTACAGATCTCAATGCAATCTTTAAAAAGGTAATGGAGATATGTCTCTTGGAACAGTAGATCACAGGTAGCTGTGTGGTCTAGTGGTTAGGGAACTCTTGAATATAGGGTCAAGTCCTGCAGGTACATGTGGTTACATGTTGTGACCTTGGGCAAGTCACTTTACTCCTACTTGCCTCACTCTACCCACAAGTATAAATTGGTATAAACTCCCTCGGGAGCTGATGAGATGGCCGTAAGGAATGTTTATGGGCCTGTTAAGCTGGCTAATAATGATGAAGCACTTTGACCATCAGCAATGGTGAATGTTTGCACTTAATAAATACCCATCGTTGTTAAGAAGTATATAGAACTGAGATAAGTATGAGCATATGTACATATGTAGAGTGCAATTTTGTTTTCAAAGCTCACTTTGACTTTTTTTTCTGGCAGAGTGTCTGAATTTTCAAATACCTGGTCTGCTCTTCCGATGTACTCGGCAAGGATGGGATCGCATTTACCGTACATGGCGTACATGACCAAGCCACACATCATGGTCAGGGAAAGGATGATGAAGAGCAGTGGACAATTCACGTACAAGACCCTATGGTAATGTGGAAAGAAGAAGGGAAAATACTAGACCGATGAGACAAATTAGGAGAAAGGTTGTAAAATTGGTTGACCACACATGCAACCCTAAGATTCCAAAATCCTCTAGTAGGTTTTTGGAGGACTTTGAGGATTAAAGGTGTGATTAAAGGAATTCCCCAATGGTTTTCTGGAAAATAAGGAAAAGGCTCTTAGCAACACGGTTTCCAGGGAAATGGAAGGCCTAGGTATCACAAAATCTGACTGACGTCCTCTAAAAGACTCACAGTTATAGTGGTACTGATGAAAACAAGCGCTGCAATCTGGATCATCTCCAGGGGCATTTTTTTTCCAAACACAATTGAACTTTGGACCATTTCGGAAGTGCTGTGAAAGCCAAGCACGTTTGTGGCACAAAGCCTGTCTCTACCAAAGTTACTAAAGTTTGACTACTGTGTAAGTGGGGCCACAGATTCACTGAAACTGTGCTCACGATACTGTAGGTATCAAATACCAAGAGCCTGGCAAAGTGCTTATGACAGAGCCAAAGTCGACAGAAAACACAATGACTGGATGACTGCACTAACAAGGTGTATGATTAAAACGCACTGATTTAAAACGCACTGATTTATCTCAATTCTTCAAATCTGTTGACTGTTCTGCTATCTTGCTGGTAGGGACAAAATACAACTTTTAGAGGGGCGGTCAGCAATTCTGCAAGTCAATCACTATAGAGTGAAGATTCTATTACCTCTTAGCATCTCGTTCCGATGGGCAGCTCAGGTAACGCTGGACCGACAGCTGATTGCAGCCATAGTTGCCAAGAAAAGTGAAGGTGCCACCAATCACAAGAGACCAGAGGGAGTGACGAATGGTTGGATCAAAGCCAAACCTGAGCAAATTAAACAAAAATTTACATTTATTCTAAAAAATAAAGACTTATTAGTGTAAACATTTCTTGAATGTTTAACATGTATTAAATTTCCAAGTTTGTTTCTATCATTATACTATTTGTTGTGAGTTTTAATTTACTTATCTTTTATACTGGATAATCTTTATTGCACATAGGACCTCGATAGAAACCAGTTTCTAAAAACTGTACGGACACATCTAGGTTAACAGATGTGTTGAGGGAACAGAGAAACTGTGACATCATATAACTTCTATGGGGTTGGCATCAGAATCTGTATTACAGTAGCTACGATTTCCGAGTACTCTTGCTTAATAATCCTTTTTAACGACTGACCAATGTATACAAAGACATTGGTGGTAATGATTATGGAAAACACAAAATGCCCCCCCAAAAAAAGCACAAAAAACTTTCATGTTCATTTTACACATTTTTTAGGCATCGAGTCAATGTTATCGTGTTGAACCTCTGTCTTATTTCAGTACTTCGGTCATTTGCGTAGTAAATATTCTACTTATCAACAGGTCAATATTATGATTTATGTATCATGATTGAAGGCTGCATTCTATTTAATACTAAGGCTCTCTGTATTGCTGGAAGACTCACTCATTGAAAACAATGCGGCCACCTTCCTGGTTGATTTGCCATATGTTCTGGAAGCCACCAAAGACAATGCTTCCCTGGATAATGACGGCCAAGAGCCCAGCAAACATCACCAGGGTCTGGAAAACATCTGTCCAGACCACGGCTTTGATGCCACCCTGTGGGAGGGGAGAGGGACGGAAAGGGATATGCAGAAGGCAATTGGGACACAGGACAGAGCACAAAGGTCGGTCTAAATATTTGAAATTATTCTGAATGTATTATAAAGGCTGCATCCATTTCAATTTCCACCTGCAAAAACTTTCAGGCTAAATATCCTGGCTTGTTTGCACGAGTATGCTAGTAGAAGGAAAATACAACCCAAATATGATAAGCACTACTCAATCTTCCCATATGTGTGAACTATTTAATGATTCATTTAGTTTTTCAAAGTGTTACTGGTTCCTATCCAACGTGTCGATTTTCTTTGTCCACGCATCCAGCTCTTGTCAAACAAAATAATATTATCAGCTGATCATCTAAGAGTATTAACTTTCAGCTCAACTTTTTGTTTGAGATTGCATTCTAACTATTAGAAAATACTTGACTGAACAGAATCTAAACAGAATGCCTCACCTAAGCCTCCGAGTAAGCTGAATAGGGCTTGTTCACAAGTAGGCCATTTTGATCATGTTCCCCGAATCTTATTTTATGTGATGTGTCAAAGAGATTGGTGCCAGACTATTTTGGGTTCCATGCTTCACTGCCATATCATATTTGTAAATGTTGCTTCAAACATTTTGATATAATAAATCACAAATTTTAAATTATTCCTCATTGTAAATGAAGTTCATCTGTGATTAACTTTTATTTCATTCCTTTCATATTCATTCTCAGCTTCCCAAAATAAAAAAAAGTTAATCTTACTTTCACTTCATCATGGCCGACTCTTGAATAAGGTTAATTAATTCTTCAGTGTTTTGATCACGGACGTATATTAAAAAACCTGGACTTGCAACGCCTTTGTATGAAATAGAAGCCAACCAGCGGCCATTTTACCGAGCCGCATACAAATGCGAAGGTTGGCTCGCTACCATTGACGCCAGGGAGAACAAAGGCGGGCATTGCTGGGCAAGCTTTGTATTCGGCTCGGTAAAATGGCTGCTAGTGGATTCAATGATCTCTGTAAGCTGATCAAGGGCATTGCGAGTCCAGATTTTTTTTATATACGTCCGTGGTTTTGATGCTCAACTAACAACGCGTACAAAGCTCCCTGTTTCTTTCGTGGCAATAAGGACAAAATAAGACACGCGGCATGAGTGGAACCTCACACAAAGTAAACAAACACGGGCAAGCATCGATTTACAAATGGCTCCCCAGTCTGTGGCTGGCCCCTGCACCTGTCCTTACGTACTCGGATGATTCAATTAAATAAACCACACTCTGTAATGACCTGCACACTTGCTAAATGCCAAGCCATTTCAATCAAGTTAATTTATTTGATTACAACTCATGCCATCCTGAGACACTATGGAATTGATAACACTTCATGGTTTTTTCCTTTTAAACATTCACATGTATCCCCATGCCAAGAACTCAAGTGCATAAAACCTTGCAAATCAAAACAGCTCGTGAACTTGTTCACCCTTTTGTTGAATAGAGTTTTTGACAGTTTTTCCATAGGGCATGCATAAAGTCTAGAATGCTTTGCCAGCTCAGGCTGAAGTCTCACATTGGGAATGATTTGATATGCACGCCCACACAGCTTGAGGGAATCTCAAAGATCAGGACGGCATTATGGTCACAACAAGCGGGAAGAAACCTTGCCATAAACTTACTGAACAAACTATGCAAACCTCTTTCTCTATGTTTGATTCGGGGAATATCCAACACACCTGTTTCCTTTGTGTGTCTTTGAAAAGTGTTAACACAAGTGCTTGCTGGAAAAAGAGAGAGGCCCTACCTTTTTTTTAAAACCCAGAGGCTAAACATGTTTCATTTTTGACTTCGCCTTGTTAAACAAGAAATTTCTCATTTTCAGTTCAACCAAATTGCTTGAATTTTGCGAGCTGGCTTTTTGGATTTTTTTCGGCCATAGGATTAGAAATATCACACTAGGGGGTGCCTATAAATTCTTGTGTGATCTGCTTCGTATCCCACCAACCTTTGATATTTATAACACACAATGGGTGCAACACCTGAGCTTTCTGGTTTGTGAGGGTCCCTCGTCACAATGGGCCTCTCTTGGCATCATAGAGTGGAGGTAAACGGGGGGATTACAGTGGATCAAATTTTTTTTCTCTCTCACCAGTGTTGTGTAGAAAATGCAGACAAGGCCTACTGTTAGAATGGACTTCCAGATACTGAACCCAGTCACTGTAAATATGTTCCAAAACAAGATGGATGTAAGTCCACCAGAGGTTATGACTGTCACACACCCCTGTACCCTCTAAGACCATTGGTAAAAACACATACCATGGTGAATCACACGGTCAAATCAGAGTTTGAAGAGGACGTCCAAAGTTGATTGGAAAACCCTTCCTGACAACAAGCCTCAAAATAGAGTTTGAAATTTTAGATTCCGAATTGTAAACATTTTATCACAAGATGTTCGTGATGGGGCTTTGCCCTCCTATGCCAAGCGTCAAAAAGTATATTCACTTAGTGCCAGATGTTATATTTAAACAATACAGGATAAGACAGCAACTTTTCTTGCTCAATGGTAATATTCCTGTACTGAAATTTGGATTTTTTTTTTACAAGTGGGTGACTGATCTGCAATTAGTGACATGTTTATAGGACATAACAATGTCAAGGGCAGCGCAAAACTTTTTTTTCTTTAATTTTTTTTCTTTATTAAATATAAATAATAAATACAAATAAGTATATTTCAAAAAATATATGCTAGGTTGACATTCTATGAAGTTGCTTAGATTTATGAAAATATCAACGATGGTCTACAGACTAGATTCACAAGAAGTATAAACCTACCAGCGTTTATTGCAAGAGCAGGTGCATATAAGACAACAGACATGTACACTATCTGAAACAAACGGGAAACGTTTATATCTATGTTAATTGATTTCAAACACATTCTGTGCAAATTTATCGCAGGCACTGAGTAAAAATAAAAACACATGGAAGAGCTGGATATCATTAAATTAAGACTTTGCAATACACTAAACACATCAAATGGAAAGAAAAAAGCTTTTAAGGGTACACGGTTTCAGGATGACAAAACATGCTTTGTTATGGTTGCTCTAGCGATTTCTCGTAAAAAAATGTCAAAGGATTCCATGATATTAAAAATTGAATTTGAATGTTCTTTTACAAGCCTCCTAACAAAACCTAATGGAGGTGAAACAAGTTGGTGGTGTTGACAAGAGGCAAGCCAATCTTTAGAAACATTCACATGAAAAAAATGGATGGACCAGACAGGCAATAAACATGACTCTTGCTTTGGGAACTGAAACATAAATGAGCACAATTGAAACGCACAGGAACCTGTGCTTGACTCACTCTCCGGGACAAGAAGTCAAAGGGTGAAGGTTGATGTTGGCATTCGTCCAAGGCCAGGAGAACTTACCATGTGGAATATGAAAGCAAGAGCACCAATCAGCTTGGCTGCATGGGAGAAACGAAGCTGGAGGTACTGTACAAATGGAATGATTGAAATGTGAAATGATAACGCCAGGTTGATTAAATCAATTTCAGATTCCCATTACAATTTTTATCCCTCCATTTGGGAAACTGCCTTCTTGAAAAAAAATTTTTTTTTTAATCATCCGAGTGGAAACTTGCCGTATAACTACAACTTTCTTTATTTCCTCATGAAAGATGGAAGAAAGTACTGTCAAAAGTCTAACAGAGGTAATTTACAATTCACATTTCGCAGATACATGTACAGTATGGTATGAAGGATGCAATTCTCCATGACATCAGGGAGCTTTGTGACCTTTCACAATGAAAACAAACCACTGCATGTACATTTTTTTCACTTCGCTGTGACCTCAGGTTGCGAAAGAGCCCGGATGAACATATTAAGTTGTCTGTCCATACTGGGGTAACGATGCATATCTTACAGGGAAAAAGACTACGTCATGCTTTGCACGAATGTATATTTGATGATAAGAAATATATACTATGGAATTGAACAGTTTTTAACTTTTGTCAATCTGCCGAGTAAATGAACCCCTAGCAACTTTACATTTGTTTTCTCTTTACATTGAGTGTGGACCAGTCTTTAAAGGTTCAAGTTTTGTTACTGGGAGAATCTCATTAGCATACCTCATACACGCTGGTTAGGCCAAGCCTGTAAAACACAGGAATATACAAGTGGGCAGCGATCAAGGTCACGAATATGTATGAGCCGCTGATGAGCCAGAACATGGTGCCATGGCTGTAGCACTCAGATGGTGTGCCAAGCAAAGTCACTGCTGACATCCAGCTGGCGAGGAGGGAGAAGCCGACGGGGAGGAACTTCATCTGGCGGTCCCCAACGAAGATCTCCTGGGTCGTCCGCTGGTGTCCCCCGGTACAGGCGTGATAGAGACCGATCACCGCGGAGACCAGAAGGATGGCAGAAAACACCGCATAGTCGACGACAGAAAACACCCCTGATGGCGTGGACTCTGGCATGTTGGCCATTCTGAAAGCTGTGGTGTGATTTTCTCTGGGTTGTACTTTTGAAAGATGTGGAAGATGATGATGGCCAATGACGAACAAAATTAGCAACTATATGCTACATATCAGTCATGCGCAGTACGATATTCATCTGAACAAAGAAAGACAGTAAAATAACTAAGGATGACTTTCTTTTTTTTTAAAAAGGATTTTGGAGATGGCTACTCCTTTTTTTTTAAAGCATTTGGGAGATGGCTACATACCATACATTGTCTTTCTGAGTCGGGCTTACTTTCCTAAACTATTCCAAAAATTATTGACATTTGATGAAGTGGCTAAACTGTCCTAAATATTGCATGGATACTTCTTGAATCCAGTAGCAACAATGTACATGCTTCAGCACTTGATGGCATTTGAAACAACATAAGATATGATACCTGTAGCAGCCAATGAAACACTACAGTACTCCAATGAACTACACAAGTCTGAGGGTCAACTTTTTGCTGGGCTGACATATTCATTTTTCTTACAACTGTCAGGTTTTTTTTCCAAACCACTGATTCTCAATGAAAAGAAATTTCACTTCAGTTAATTCATGGCTGTGAGAAAAAAAAATTCAAGGCCCGGCAAGTTTCACATACAGGTACGGTCCGACTTGCAACCAGTTCCAAACCACTGATGCATATTATACATGTGTTCCTGTGCATGTACAGTGTACATACATGTACATGTACTGTATGTTGGGTGCCAGTGTTATCTACAGCCTTTAAGTATTGCAGAGCAACACACAATGTGGGTGCGGAGCACGAAGCCATTACGGCATGGGGTCTGGGTCCCGCTCAAGGGTCCAGGGCCTGCTTAAGGGCCCCAGGAAATTTTGGATTCTAGATGCTCTGTGGTGCAATCTGAGGTATTTCCTGGGCACTTTCTTCTGACTTCTTGAATCAAATTTGTTCATGGTAACAATTTGAAATGAAGGCAAGGTTATTATTGGGAAGTCATCAAAAGTTGATTTTTTTGTTTACCCATCGGAACTTGCCGTCGAAAGGATGGTTCACGGGTTACATGTACGTACGTGGGCGCAGCATGAGTGGATGATGTACAGTCATTTCCCTAATTCCGGACATCAAAAATAACTCCATGGACAGCTTCCAGTGACAAAATCTTATAATACCAGTGAAATATAGTCAATAGTCCACTTTGTGTATTGGAAAAACTGCAATATTACTTTCAAAACCTGAGCTTTTAATTTGGACTTAAGATCGTCAAAAGTGACACTTTTTCTACATATAGTTCTGAATCCATTAAACCAGTTTCGAATCGCAACAACTTTTTCTTGTATAAAAATCAGCCAGAGCCATTATAGCAAGCTGATTTTCTCATTGAGAATTTCTTGATTTCGAGAAAATTACTTCATAAATAACAATTTCAGAGAATTAAAAAGTGACACTGGCGTAAATTTCGACTGAGTTTTTCAGCTGTACTGCTGGCAATCAGCGACTATTCCCCACGCTGCACAGTTGATAATCCCATTAAGTCACATACCGGTACATGTACATTTCTGTTATGCCGGTGTAGTTGAGTTCGTCAATGGACGTGCGTGAACTTATGGTGTAATCCATAACTAGGATAAAAATATGCATTCAGTTTTGGGCCAATTTAGTAAAAAAGTCATTGTACATCTATGCACAAGTTTATAGAACTGCTAAGTAAGAAAAAAGTATTTGGATTCACACATAGAGTATGACCTGACATCACCCGGTATTTTTGGTCGTTTTTTTTTTTGTGCTCTTGTGATTTTTGACAAACCATTCAAAAATGTCAAAGTTCAAAACAGAAATCTAGCTGGCAGAAAATTTCTTTTCTAGACGTTTTCTGAAAACAAAATTTTGCACAAGAAGCTCACATTTCACCTTTCTAACTGAACTTGTTTGAGACTGTAGCACACAAAAGAAGCAGTTCTAGAAGCAGAAGAACAGAAGTTTTATTTCAAGTGATCTGGATCTAGGAGAAATCCGGAACTTCATATATATAGGAAACCGGCTGTATTTTCCGAGAAAAAAAATGCATTTGGGGTATCGGTTCTTGACACATTAAAATGACAATGCTATGACCGGGAGATTGGAACCAGTCCAGAATTTTTTTCGTGCTTACATGTACTATACAGTGTCTGGCTTTGATCACAAATGGTGTGAAGTGCTCTTCTGTAAAATGATGGCAAACTCGTCATGTTCATTCCAAAAAGTGTGGTAAACTTCTTTGCATTTAGATAAACTGTGAAGATGGTGGAGAATAGAGAAAATCCAACACAAAAAAGCAGGGTGGTGAGAATTTTAGCGGAGCGGCAAAACTTTAGCGGGGCAGTCTAAACTTTTGGCAGGGTGGCCAGCCCTGCTAAAACCCCTCATCCCCTCATAGAGAACACTGGGGGCAATTGGCTGATCTGCATGATCGCAGGATCCCTCTGCATGATTGGTCATTCCAGTATGAAATCTCTGATTTTACTTCGCTTTTTAAAATTAATCTACCAAAGCTGCGAATTGGAAAGAAAACGTATTTGGCTGATGACAAAATTACTGGCATATCCCGCAAAAACATCTACAGATCTTGCAAAGACTGAGCGATCCCAGCATTGCCCAATCACACCCGACATATGCTGTAATTGCTGTTGCTGCCAATTGCATAGCTTTGAAACTTTGGGGACTGGTACTCTGAAACTTTTGTACCAGCCTACTACATACAAAACCATGGAGGCCTACGGCCGAGGCATGTTTGATAATCGTTCATGAGTCAGTTGCTACCACTGTAACCAGTTCCTTTGAGCAGGTTACAGCGTTACAGGTACATGTACATAAAGAAAGCATGAACACAATGAAACAAAAGTTAACTAATGGTAGGAGGTACCGGTACAGTGTAACATCCATGGCGCAGTCGCCAGGTCCCTTAAATCTGATTGGTTTTCACAGTATGTGGAGAAATAAGGGACCTTGGGACTAGACTGTCATGCTCCATGGTTTGACTGGAAAGAGATCCACATCCAGACATCACTAGACACCCTGTGCACTAGTAGTATTATGAGACCACGATGAGATGTAAACGGGTCAAAAAAATCCCAAGAGTTTCTGAAGTAGGCTAAAAATATTGATTTCACTGCTAAATTTGACTTTTTACTAGAACATGTTATCACTTTCTTATGGCTAAGACCACTGCATGGGAAAATTAGTGACGACTTAATGATGAACTTCTGACGTAGGCTACCACACACATTTAAATAGCTAGGCCCTACCCTCTCATGACATAGCATGTTTCCGTACACGTTACACAAACAAGCATGACAAAGTTAGCAGTACAAGTCTTACCTGAATTCTCCTGAATTATCCCTTCAACAACATGTAAAAAAAAATTGATCGATTCCCGCGTTCACTCAAAACAAGCAATCTGCAAATCATTTCGCTTTCAAGTCGACGATGAGCTCATTATGTTACTGCTAAACAACAAAGAGGTCACCTCAAACACTTAACAGTGACTCACTACATTCTATTTACATGCACCATCTATTTCCACCTCCATGCTTGCACTATCGCACAAGGTCCTAGAGGGCCCCGTCTGCGTCAAAAGGTTGAATGAAAATGCCGGTACGGCCGGCGATTCACCAACACGTGCATACGTACACATACACACATGAGGCTTCATGTACAAAATGTGGTAACCACACCGGAGGTAGTAAACTCATTGGAAAAATCAAGCTACCAGCGATAGTACGGTGGCCAGGATATACCATTCAGTTTTTACCTGTGATTCCAAGAGAGAAAAATTCCTTGAAAATGTTTCCGCAGGGATTGTTACGGCGCAGTGGTTTTTAAAGGGACATGGTCGGAAAAAATATTGTCGCCAAACGTACATGTACTTTGTTCACGCAACAACAAAGTTTGTTGAGGGAACAACCATATTTGTTGAGGGAACAACAAGTATTTGTTGAGGGAACAACAAATTTTGTTGACGGAACAACAGATTTTGTTGAGGGAACAACCATTCTTGTTGAGGGAACAACAAAGTTTGTTGAGGGAACAACAAATTTTGTTCTATGAAAATAGACACTGAAATGACACTATTGCAGACAACACAAAGAGACCAGGGTTTAGTCCATGAAATTCAAGCCCCATTGAAAACAGTGTAAAATTGGCATTGTTCTGAGCCCAATAACATGCATACTAACATCCCTGAGGTTTCTGAAACACAAAGCAAATTATTGTCTAGTCCCTAATCTTTCAGTTTGTTTCCAATTTTCTGTGGGTTGACCGATTACATTTTTAGTTATTCCCACCAAACAACATCACCCCCCCCCCAAAAAGTGATTTTTCCGAAGTAGTGTTTGCAGCCATCTTTCAAGGGGCAACTCTCAACTTTCTTGGGCACTTAGGACCATTTTTCAACCGTATTTTTAATCCATTCTGCTCTCACATAAAAGAGAGCATGGAGTTGTTCCTGGCAAACATTTACACAATCTCACAATTTTTTTGCGGGGGGGGAGGAAACAATCTCCTTTTTCAAAAGAAACTGCTAATGAGCTGACCAGAAATTCTTACTTGAATTAGTAGACTGCACTAGACTGCATTGACTGAATTGTTCCCTCAACAAAATTTTGTTGTTTCCTCAACAAAATTTTGTTGTTCCCTTAACAAACTTTATTGTTCCCTCAAAAACATTTGTTGTTCCCTCAACCAAATTATGTTGTTCCCTCAACAAAGTACGTTTGCTGACAATATTTTTTTCCTACCATGTCTCTTTAAAACCACCGTAGATTATGACACTGAATACGTAACATGCACGTATTTTTTTATCAGGTAGTTGCTGGTAAGCAAAGTTTTCGACGAAACATGGTAGATAATTTTTTTTAAAAAAACCTCGTTTCAAGCTTTGTCCGCGTGGTGATCGATCTTGATGCAGGATATAATTCTAAGTACGATCGATAGCAAAGCTTGGGAGGAACTAGGTTCTGCAGACGGATGCACAGTTGAATATCTGGGATAGGCTTTTTAGCAGTTGTTTGTTCGAGTTTTTTTTTTTAGCATCGGTTTCATTCGTTTTTCTCAAGGAAGCATTTGAAAAGCCCCCAAATCTAGCCCCTCAGAAAGGCCACAAAGGTCATGTGAAGAAACGGCCAATATTTTGCCCCTAAGGAAATAGCCCCCCCCCCCAATAACATGTACCTGTTCTACAATCTCAGCCAAGTCTCACTACGTACATGGGCCCTGCGCATCCGGCTTACGGACAATGTTGTCTCCATAGCGCTATATTTAAAAAGTGTACACAGCTCTATGGTTGTCTCTCATTGCACGGTCTGTGCTCCAGGGAGCTGGCGACGAGCAGGGGTGGATCCCGGGTTTTCTGGGGGGAGGCGTGAACTAAAAAATTGAGGGTCGTGGCTGCAAAATTAGGGAGGTTGGGTACCGTTTTTACGCCTTTATCACTTTTATGGGATTAGGTCCCTCCCTCTTTTGTCTTCCCCCTCCCACTTTTTCTTCTGCTTTTATTAATTTATTTGGTAAAAAAGGGGGCGCGTGCGCCCCACGCCCCCTAGATGCGCCCCTGAAGAGTGTCGGACCCGGGGAAGGCATGCTTATAATGACATCTTAGCCATTTTGGCCGAGACTTTCTGAATATCTTCATGGATCAAAATGTGAATGACATACCATTTGTCGGAGGCTCTTTTCTTTCTTTCTTTTTTTTTTGACAGAAGAGAGTTGCGTGAACTTTGGGGCAAATAGTACATACAAGAAACTGGTTGTAAAAATAAATTATGCATTTTTTTGGCTGACTCCTATGTGTGATAAGTAGGCTACCGTGTACTTTTCACTTCCAGTTATCCACATGTGTTCTTTTCGGATGGAATTCCAGTCCACAGTCCTTTCATAATCTTATACGATAGGCGAGAGCACACGGGCTCGAGCCTTTTTGGGTTAATTGTATGAGCAGGCCAGGGCGGATGATTGATGAGCCGGGAACCCAGAGGAGTCCTATAGGGAAGCCTGTATGTAACTACGATTCGTTATGAATTTCTGGAGTTCGTGGGCGTGCGCTTGAATGCGCAGTCGACACCACACAACTTTTGCTGTTTTTCCTGTTCTTAATCTTTCAGTTTCTTTTCACGTTGGTTGAGGTAGCCCTTTACGTTTTAATTATTCACACAAAACAAACCCACCCCCCAAAAGTGATAGTTCTGAAGTCTGCAAGCAGCCATTTTTTCAACTAGCATCCCTCTACTTTCTCGGTCACTTTAATGCGACCATTTTAAACCTTTATTCCATCAACTGCGCCCTAGATGGAAGCTCCCAAAATCAAGAAGTTGATCCTGGCCTGTGTTATTAAAATCTGCAATTTTACGGTCAAACAGTAGACTTTTTCTTTAAAAAACGGGGTACTTTCATACTAATAACCTCGGCAGAAATTATCACCAGAATTGGTGTGCTGCACCCTTGCCAGAACACCAATCGTGATGTTTGGCGCCCTCTGTTGATTATAAACGGGTAACAACCTTTGCATGGTGAAGTATGGGACCGAGGGGGGGGGAGTTTCAATCTACACATTGTGCACACCACAGTGTACCGTTTTGTTTTATTGAAGAATGCATGGAAAGAACGACCACTCGCATTAAATATTACGGCGCTCTGTGAGTGCC